GCAGTACAGGGATTGTCCACAGGTTTGAATGCCAGGAGATGAAAGGATAGACCAGTGATGGCAAACCATTTGGGCACTGAGTGCCCAAAGCGAGAGTGCATGTATAACCAAAATGCAAGCCTCCCTGCACATGTGCCCTACCCCTGTGCATGCGTGGCAGAGATCCGAAGATCAGCTGGCCAGCGGGAGGCACGCATGCATGCATGGAGCTGAGCTGGGGTGATAGTACATATGCCCACAGAGAGGGCTCTGCATGTCACCTGTGGCACGCATGCCATAGATTTGCCACCATTGGGATAGACCATCTTGCTGACAATCACACCGGTCTTTTGAAGAACACTAAGTTCACAAACCTTACATTCTAATCACTTTTGGAATTAATCATCTTAAAGCTATTACAGATCTTTGGAATGACAAGTTTGAAAAGTCTTTAGGTGGGTTTTATCTTCAACTCTGAAGATAATTAATTTTCTTAATTAATTAAGAAAAATTAATTATAAGGCTAAAGAATTTGAAATAAACAACAAATAAAAATTTGATTTAAGAAAGTTATAACTGGACTAAGGATCCGCATAAATTTGGAATATTTTACTATAAAATTTTAGAATTAATTATAAAAAATAAAGTTTCTCAGAGGAAACTGACATATCTTGGCTACTCTGGCTATTGCAAGTCACAGCAAAGATAAATGTTGCGATTTTAGTAATGACCTAGAAGGAACAACAGATTCTAAGCAGAAGAGGGAAAAATCGACATCTGTTCTTGATGTCAGTTAATACTGAGACTTACAAAATGACACAAAATGTGATAACACGGGAAAAATTAAAGAAGATCTTTAAAACTGGACCCAGAAATTAGTAACCACAATATCAACAGTCAGTAATGATGTTAGCTTCTATGGATAGATTATGTCCAAAAGATGTTAATGAAGGAATGACAGATGAAGAACACATTTTGACAAGACACAAAGTATTGAAAGTGGAACTAGAAATGACAGGCCAAGAGAATGATTTAGAAAAGGACACTAGAGTGGATATACAAAAGAAACTGGCTGAGGTTTTAAAAACTAAAAGGGAAATACAAATGATAAACCAAGAAAATGACTTGGAAAATGTTTTCTTACTGAATGTAAAAAAGAGCATTGTTAAAGCCCTGAAGAAATCTGCTATGGGATAAAGAAGAAGAGAAATCAAATCCTATGACAATATTCTACTGTTAAGTAAAAGAAATGAGTAAAAAATTGGTTTATTTGATCAATGTTTAAATAAGACTTTTTTTTTTTTTTTGCAAAGTTCCGGCAACCCTTTATGGACTTTTTGCTGATACCAGGTTTAAAAGGTTAATGTTTTATGAATATGTCTATAGATAAACTAGGGACGTGATTGTTCAGTGGCTAAGATACTGAGTTGATCAGAAAGGTCAGCAGTTTGGCGGTTCGAATCCCTAGCGCTGCATAACAGAGTGAGCTCTGTTACTTGTCCCAGCTTCTGCCAACCTAGCAGTTCGAAAGCATTTAAAAATGCAAGTAGAAAAATAGGGACCACTTTGGTGGGAAGGTGACAGTGTTCTTTGTGCTTTCGGCATTTAGTCGAACAGCGCTGGCTCTTCCGCTTTGTAAAGGAGATGAGCACCACCCCCTAGAGCCAGAAACGACTAGCAGGTAAGTGCGAGGGGCATCTTTACTTTACCTTATAGATAAGGTATGGGATATGGTATGAAGAGATATGTGTTTGTAACCTTATATGGGTTAAGGAGTTACTAAATTTGTTTATACTTGTGAAGGTTGGAAGTCAATTCTTTATATATTTCTTTTGTTTTATTAATTTCTTTTTCCTACATTTTTATCTTTTTTCCTGTTCTCATCTCTTGTTCTAAACTTAGTTTGTGTTGGTGTTTAATATTGTAATTGAAATTCTTAATAAAAGGTATACTTGTATTATGTTGTAAACCTACCCTCCAAAATAGCAGATGGAATGAGTAATGCTGGGATATAATAGTAAACAAGTAATGGACAGAGGCAACACAGGGATTATGGAGCCTGGCTGAAATCATTCTGAAGATCACTATCATGCTGCTTAAATAATTATTTGGCCTGTTCAGAACCACAGCATAAAACCCTGACCATGTCAAATTTAATTTGGATGCAGGTATTATCAAGCAACATTTAATAAGTGCCAATATATGCCTGTCAATAAGATTTCCAAATTCTGTTCTAAAAACAATCAAAAACTATTTTAAATCCGTGAATGCCATGCGCAGAACTGATACTTGTCAATAAGAGGCTGTAAAATAAAGTATGGGTTCATGGCAGATCTCCCCATCCTAAAACAAGATTATAGATTTAGATTCCTTGTTTGGCAAGTATGCTTCCCTGCACCTTCCAGTGCACCAGTTTCTAAAATGTGCCTAAATATTAGTAACAAGAACCTGATTGGACAATAGTAGAAGGGTAAGATCTGTTTCCTTTTATGAATATGGAGATAATAACCAGGGCATTACATTCAGGATACAGCTTATGGTCGTGAACACAAATACTAAAAATAATTAATTCAGGTTACAGGAAGATGCTTTAACATGGGATTCCTGTATTAAGGAAGTTGGACTCAGTGGCTTAAATTTCTCCTGTCAACTCCATAGTGCTACTTTCTTAAGAGTCCCACTTTTTAGCCATGTACTAAAAGCAACTGGTCATCTCCTTTTAGAGCAGAAGCCTTTTGTTTCTGCTCTAAGCCTCTTTGTGACATTTACTAAAACAAAATATGTGCACTGGTATTATCACTGGCAGTTAATTCCATTAGAAGAACTAACAGTCTCAAACTGTCCAATCCCTTTAAAGAGCTTCTGTAAAATGTTCATGCAGCTAAATGCATTGACAGCTTACAAACCAAAACAGAAGTTTAAAGTATAGATTTGCCCTGGGGATAGGATAGCATTCATAGATCTAGAGCACAAAATTACAATTTAGTTTTAAGTTCAGAATTCTGTTTCTCAATAAAAAAAAATCTTCATTCTAAAAGCATTTTTAAAAACTCTTACAGATGGCAAAATGTTTTAAAACAACTTTTCCAGCACAAATAACTGGGGGGGGGGGGGGATGTGTGTTGAGTTTGCCTTATTTACAGAACTCCACCACCCCCCACCCCGCCATGCAGAATGTGCCTCAAGAATCAGCATTTGGCTATCCTTAAAAAAGTAAATTGACAGCTGCCTTTTTGCTGTATTGCATCAAAATTGCTAGATGATCTCATTGAGGAATTTGGGGTTATGAAATGCCCAAAAGGACCTCTACACACACAAATAAACACAGCATGCTACTCTTCAATTAGCAGGCCTCACCAAAAAGGACTTCAACTTTGTTCCTAGTCCAGTACCTTTTCCACTTCATGACACCTAGTTTGAGTGCCAAGAGTTGTAATGGTCACACTTGCTCAGCAAAAATCATCCTTCAACGTAGTTCCCAGAGTAGCCAAATAACAACTTCCTAGCAAAAACTACTCAGTACAGGGCAGCTTGTGCATGTAAGAGTGCGGAAGCTATCACCTCAGCTCTTATAACACGGCCCAACTATTGCTTAAATGGGGATGCAGCCCCTCAAAGTATCAGTTGCCAATACCAGGCCATCTGATATTTAATACTGGGCCTATAAACAGAAACTCCAAAGGACCCAGCAACATCTCTAGAAACATCTCTGATGTAATCATCAACATCAAGGATCTCATAATCAGCATTTAAAACTAAGATATTAACCTATTTCCCTTGAACAAAAAAAATAATATTTAGAACATAAAATATAGAGTTGGAAGAGACTTTGGAGATCTTCTAGTCCAACCCACTACTTAAGCAGAGGACCTTATACCATTCCAGAAAAATGACTGTCCAGTCTCTTCTTACAAGCAATGATGCAGCACCCACAACTACTGAAGGTAAGCCAATTGCAGTGATTAAATGTTCTGTCAGAAAAATAATTTTCTTAGTTCTATGTTGGATTTCTCTTTAATGATCTTGCAACCATAACTTCCAGACCCCTTATCAACTTTGTTGCTGTTCTCTGAACTCTTTCTAGGATCTCAACATCTTTATTGTATTATGGTGACCAGAACTGGATGCAATATTTCAAGCACGGTCTTACTAGTGCAATATAAAGCGGCACTATCACTTCACATGATGTTGAAACTATCCCTGTTATGTAAATTTATTATTTATTAAATAAAATATATTTGCAAATATACAGATCCACAAGGTGTAAGACAGACATTACTTTGGCTTATAATGACAAATAAATGTGTAAAAAGTCATGTGAGGTATCAGCTACCCCAGGGGTAGTCAACCTTTTTATACCTACTGCCCACTTTTGTATCTCTGTTAGTAGTAAAATTTTCTTTAACCGCCCACAGTAATGGTGATTTATAAAATAGGGGACAAAACCCCTACCGCCCACCCTGAAAGCTGGAATGCCCACTAGTGGGCGGTAGGGACCAGGTTGACTACCACTGAGGTACCCCATATTACTCTTTCCAAGATACCATAACCAGAAAGCTGCCAAAACATCACATAAATTCAAAGCCCTGACGCAGTCTTGCCCATAAACATCCTAGCAGGAACAATATAAGCAAACCTGTGAGTTGTAGTCTAATCCCCAGTCCCTGGTGAAATATCATAAGATAATTTATGGCAAATATTTTAATATTTATTTTGAGATGTCCTTATAACTCTTATCCTTATACTCTCTTGATGTTTGAAAATATTTACCATCATTTGGTTACTTGTGCAATGTAAGATTCAGAGTAGACCATTCTGGAGTTTCAGTTTTATATGAGCTATCAAAATTAAGAAATATATGCTGCATTTATAATTGTCATCCTTACCATAAAGTTTTAAGAGAGCAATCATGAACCAGGAGAGTTGTCTCTTTCTTAACCTTCAGATCTATGGACAGAAACCTGCCTCTGCCAGATCCCTCCACAACCCTGTAGTTTGATATAATACTTTCAACAGCCTACCATCAATTAGAGCTTGAGTTGCTTCATCATAAGGAGGCATCTTCTCCATTTCTTCCTCTGCTGCCTTGTCATCTGGTGATGGTTTGGGTGAGGAGACCTATAGAGACATTAAATATAGAGACATTAAACCAAAAGAATACTATTAGTTCTTTGAAATCCATCAATAACCCTTGTGGAATAATGAGAAGAAAAGCAGAATAAGCTGACTAAAAAGGTTAATTTTACAGATACCGTGTGACCAGTTTCCAAAGAAAGTGCATTACCAAATCAGGAAAAGAAAAATAAACCCATGCTAAAGCTAAGAGTGGTGGATCATTTTTTTCTTATTATCATTTGTTCTGCTTCATTGCAGAGACTACTTTTTTGCATTCTGCTTTCTTAATTTACACAGCAATGCCATCACTGCATGGTACAACTAGGGATCTGTTTGTTCAGTCAGCTTGCTGCAGAGCCTGATGCTGTTTCAAGGCCGAGAGTGTGTGGCTGCCCAAGGTCACCCAGCTGGTGTCAATGTCTAAAGGAGAACCCGGGGCCTCCATTCTCCCAGTCTGGCACTTTTCCTGGCTCTCATTTATGAATAACTCCATACTAATCACAAAACAAAAGTCACTCCAAATATTGCCAGTTTCAAATGAGTGAATATATTTCAATAGACATTGTAAAAATGTTTAAATATTGCTTTTTCTACCTGAGAAAAGCGTGTTCTTATGCTGGGATGGGCAACCCTCAGAGCTCTTCTGATCAAAACTGCTAAACAATAATGTTAGCAGAGATTCCCACCATTTTGGGTAGGGAAAACTGTGAATTCTGTTGTGTAAGCCCTAAAAAGATGTTAGTTAAAAAGAAATAAAATCCCCCAAAGTCCTTCCCCAAATCAACTCATTCTTATGTTTGTGATTCTAATCCTCTGCTGTGCTCATCCTCCCAACTGCAGGATGCACTTGCCCACCAAGGTTGCCCTTCACTGACACAAATGGCATCTTTTAAATCTCTCCTAAATTGTTTAGCATGTAGCAGACAACACAGTTAGTCTAACCATTTGCAAGACAAGATAATGAATATTGCATGCATAATTCTCTATGAAATATCTGGCTTTACAAAGAAAAAATTATGCAAATAAAGCAAAGCAAAACACAATAAGACGAGGCAGGCATTAGTGACCATCGTATTCCCCCCCGCCCCTTTATTTTTAAAGACTTGGAAAGCAAGGCAAGGATCTGGGTAGGATGGGAGATGCCACTGAATTATAACTCCTAGCAGCTCCAGATAGCCTGGTCAAAAATATGGGAATTGTAATTCAATAACTTCCAGAGGAAGATATGCTCTTTTTCTAAATATTTGGAGAAGTTCCTAACATTAAAGAAAATATTTATTTTTGCTTAAACCACAAATTACTTCAAATCAGTATGTTTTTATTGAAGCTCAGTATTAGGTAGAGGCAGATCGCGATTAGTGTGGTTAATGAATCCCACGAATGGTCACATTATTCAAATTTGCACTACTCAAAGTGATATTTCTATGGAAAACAGAATTGGTTCCTATGACAGAAATAGGCAATTAAAATTTTAAAACATAAATTTTATGCACTTATTAATGAAACACTGTGTAACAGTAAAAGAGGATAAACTCATATTCATAGTGCATTCTACTGCAGTTCTTCAAAATGAGCGTCTTCATTTTCAAGTTTTTTTGAACAGAACCTTTCTTTTGCACATTTCATACACAGGTTGATTAGCATCTAAAACCCCATCTATGCCTGTGATAGCCTGATGTTATGGATTTTGGCTTGCTTTAAATGCAACTTGGCATCAGTTATAATTTACACTGAATCAAATATATTGCATTATTCAAACTCACATTAATCACAATCTGTGTTAATTCTATATAGCCTGAAATGCCCCATTCCCACGGCCTTTAAAAAGAAAGCAAACTTGTCCCTACCTGATTTTATCTATTTAAATACGAAATAGGATTGTTTATCACCTAGAAGCCTATGCTTGCAGAATTCTTTATGTAATTTGGGATATTAAGCAATTTTGGAAGCTTGAATACATATAAGTGATGTCAGCAAATGTCTGTGATCAATAAAGTTTCCTCATTATGGATATTTCATAAGATTTGGTCAAAGTTTAGTAAAACATCTCTTTCCCCTATTCTCAATACATAATTTACTGATCAGTTCTTCTCAAGTCATACAAACCATCGAGAACTGAATAAATAAAATAAGCAAATCTGCATGCATTTTCCCAGGGAGCACAACTTTATAAACACTATCTAGGTTAGGAATACAATGAGAAACTTCCTTGTAAATTTCGTTGATAAACATCATGCAGCAGTTCAATGTTGTACCTTCATCTCTTCATCCAAACTATCATCATCAGTTTCCTCCTCATCTTCCTCATCTTCCTCATAGTCCTCTTCAGGTGATAACTGGTCTACCTGGGCATCAGACTGAGTATCAGACTCCTCTTCCACAGGAGTATTTTGTAGAGACTGTACTTCAGCCAAGTTCTGTAAAGAGAAAACTGAGTTCAGCCTAAAACAACTCCTGTTCATGCACTTGATTACCAACTTAATTTGGCTCTTCAACAACTTGAGAAGCAATGAAAAATGAGTACTACAGATGTTATTTAGGAATCCTAAATATCAATAATGAGCAAACTTTACTGATAACAGACATTTGCTGACATCACTTATACGTATTCAGAGAAGAGTCTATCTTTCCTCTAAGGCACAGGTGTCAAACTCGTGGCATCACATTGCCATCATGTGACATTTTGGGACATTTTTCCCCTTTGGGGAGCTGGGATGGGTGTGGCCTGTGCATGGCGCATCCGGCCCGCAGGCCGCCAATTTGACACCCCTGCTCTAAGGCTTCATAGAATAGAAAGGTTTTCAGTATTGTCTCTCCATACTATCTTGGCTACATGAAATACTCTTCTCCATAACCTGACTGCATATGTTGCATATGCAATTGAGAGTGAAAGAAATTTGATAGAGGTTTAGATATGGGTCAAAAGAAGTTAAACTGGCATTCAATTCATTCAGCAATTGGTGGATTCTTCATTTAGCAATGCATTTGTTAAATGTGGAAAGTAAATTTTATCTGAGGTTTTTTTGGCTTTGCTATTTGTCTGTTCCTAATTGTATCATTTTTCTTTGGAATTAACATTTTCAGTCTTTATTCATCAATTTTAATTGCCGCTGAGTGCTACATAAGCACTAGGAAGACAGGATATAAATGTATTTATCTATTAAAGTATCATACTGTGTGGAACAGGCCCACTTCCTAAGGAGACAGCTTAATATTAATGCCTGCCAAGATTTAAAAGTACAATCAATCAATAAAAGATGCCATCCCGAGAATGGGTCTGCCTACTCAGCATGAATCCTGTTATGAAGGAGAAGCTGCTCTAAATATATATTTCAAACTATTCTTCCAGAAGTACTTATTCTCAAGGATTTGAGACACTGACCTCTGTTTTGAACTTCTCCTTGATTGCTGGCCACACAACATCCTGGAAATGGACTCTGTCCACATGCAAGGAGTTACCCAGCAAGGTCTGGAAGAATGAGAGCAGAAGTGTATAGTGCTCATGAAAGTACTAATACAACTTAGCAAATGCACTTGCAGCTTCTCGGTATGTGGATGAAATTTGCAAGAAGATAACATTTCTCTTAAATACGACAATTACAATAAAGAATATGACTATAGTAATCCTAACAGTCTCCTTCCTTCCTCCCTCCCTTTCTTTTTTTCCTTTGTTTTTTTCTTCCATCCATCTCATATTTGTGATGCTGGGTGGCTTAGGAGTTGAACTTTGAATATTAATATTTAAAATTCTGCACAACTCTTTAAAATTACAACTGTGTTAACATGGCTTTTTCTCCCCCTAGTCTCCAAAGAGAAACTGAAGTAAAAAAAAATTGCCTTTCAATAAATGATTCAAAACATAGTTATAACTTCAGAATTTGCTCACATAAATAGCTTGTGTCTAGTGCAAAACAGTATTTCCCAGGGTTTTTTTTTAGCTGTGAGAAGCTTTCAATCCACTGTAACTGCTGGAAAAGCAAGATGAATTAGCTTTAAAAATAATGCAGGGAGGAAGAGGTAAAGTATTATTCCTGGACAACACTGATTATTTATTTATTTATTTATTCATTCATTCATTCATTTATCCATTTATTTATTTATTTGATCAATTTATATAGCTGCCCAACTCATACACAGTGACTCCAGGTAGTATACAGTCTTAATTATAGTTAACAATAGGGAAATGTTTATTCTGCCCTAGACCTTATACTGATGCTATTGGTCAATAGTACTTTGGGTGGAAGAATTGAAAGTAAATTAATTCTCAGCTTCCATATGAATTTCCATTGTCACATGACTAAAAGATACTTTGGAAAGAGTCTCTGTAGGCATCACTGGAAAAGTATTGTATCACAGAACAGTGAATTTATATTATAGAATCAACATTTTTTTACAGCCCCAGGAAAGAATATTGCAAAGCACAAACAAAATGTAATTGTAATTTTGGCATAGGAAATGTTTTGCAAATTACATCACCACATGGATGTTAGCCTTGGCTCTTAGATAAATGGCATGTTTCTGCTCTTGACTTTGGAAGATGAACAAACTGGTCATCGATGCAATAAACACTGAATATCCAGTACTTCTTGCCAGGCAACCAGGCACCCATAAAGAGAACTACTAAGAACAAATAGGGCAAGGCACGACCGCAATTGCTGAAAGAGGAATTGGTTAAAGAAAACGACTTAACAGAAATGTCTGCTAAGCCAAGAGCATCTGACCTGATTTACACCCACAATGTTAGCTTCCCTCCAAATGTAAAGGAATATCCACTCTGATCTTACATGAAAGAGTGACAGAAGAATCACAAGGAATAGAAAATTCTTGAAAGATAGAAGCTCCTGCTTGAATCAGAAGAGCCTTCCTTGATAGTTCAGTATTTCCTTTCTTACCTGGGCTTCCATTTCTGACAAGGTCCCATCCCCATCAACATCTAGCTCAGGGTGTATCTGAAGCTCTACAACAGATATCCTGGAGAAACAGGAGGCAAATAAGCTAGTTAGAGGGACAGCCAGCTGGCCACAAATTTGAAACAGGAACTGCCATAATGAAAATAGTTTTTTGGTTTTTATTTTAATCTAAAATAGATGTTTTCAGCAATAATTGGTCTTGAAGATTTACAGCAGGGGTCCCCAACTCTCGGCCACAGCTACTATCAGGCCATGGTCTGTTCAGAGTAGAGCTGCACAAACAGTGGGCAAGATCACACGCAGCTCCACTTGTGCAAATGGAGTTGCACATACTTGCGTGCACACCTGCCACTCACATGGAACCATTCCTTCCCCCCTACCTACCCCCACCTCTGGTCCACCAAGCTGGAAAGAATGTGGACCACCAATTTACACCATAAGGCATTTCTGGAAACAGAGTATCTTGCCTCAAAAAGAGGGAAAGAGAGCAATTGAGACTGGATTAGACCGTCTACAGACCCTTCTTTCTTGGAAGCAGAAAGATTAGGAAGTGCTCAGTAGTATTCAAAAATTAGAATTATTGCAAGGATTGGTTCACATGACTTAGTTTATTTAAAGAGAAAGCATTCTTTGCGAAAGTGGCAATGGATGCTCCCCAAAGGAATGGTAGAATTGGACACAAGTGGAATAGAATAACTGCTCTTAATCCAAATACCCAAAAATTCCACCATTGAAAAATGTCATATTAGACTCACATTCCATCTGTGTTATCATCCAATTTATGAAAAGCCTCTTCCGCTTTGGCTTGATCCTGTGCTGCTTTTTCAGCTGCGTTCTTTTCTATTGAAAAGCAGATACATAATTTATTTTAAAGACAACATCTTAGAGTGAAGTACACCACAAAGCAGCCCACTCTGTCTCTGTAGATGATAGCCACAGCTGCCGGTGAAACATCAAGATAACAGAAAACTAGACCATACCCTAAAGTTCATTACTGCTTGAATTTACAGAATAGCTTTCCAATTTCTAAACACCACCATTAAGCTATCAAAATATCAGCATCCTCCTAAATTCATAATCATTCCCTAAAAAAGGTACAACTGACAACTGGCCACTTAGCAACAGTTCAAAGCTTACAACAGACTCCAAAAGGTGACTTATGATTAGATTAGAAATTCTGACATCTCTGCCAAACAATAGATTCACTTTACAACTGGAACGTCACTTAGGGTTGTAAAAAGGTTGTAAAATCATGCACAGTCATCTGCTGAGCTACTTTATGACTGTTGTGATTTATGACCAAAATTATAAGTTCAATTACAGTTGTAAGTCGAGGACTATCTGTACTTCCATAACAGCTAGAGATATACACTTCATCTTTGCTATTATTTTGAATATTAAGAGGTATCCAAGAACACACATATCACCTGTGTACTATGCAAAATCACAAGAGTCAGAGGTCTGCCCAGCATTTGTTTTTCACTTATCCCTTGCTTAAGTCATGACATAGTAATGTAAAGTCATTTGAGGATTATAAACTTCTCTCCCACAGCCCTGTCAAATCTGAGATGAAACTAGTTGATATAGAAAGTAGAGACCTAAGTATAAAAAATAAATTAAAATGTAACCAATGGTTAATACTGAGTCTAAATTATTTCTGTCTATCCATACTCAAGAAAATTCAGTTGTCCTTAATTATTAATTGCCTGATTTTGCCACTCAAAAGCTGAAAACCTTGTGTATTAAATATTTTAAAAATATTTTACAACACTTTTACAACACTTAAGGAAAATATTCTGCAGAGCTCTAAATACTACTGCAGTTCTTAAGCACTGGTCAAAAAACTCACATTTTTAAGTAGCTTAATGGATCCCTAAAAATTATATGAAATTCTGCTTCCTCTCAACTCCAGCTAACATTTTCCTTGTTAAGAATTCTGTGTTATTTCCTTAAGCTGGTATTATGCTGGTTTGTAATCAAAACTAAAAATGTAAAAGCAACCCTTGACAGAGGCCAAGATGAGTTCAGTCCAGCACTCTATTTCTAGTATGGCCAGAATAAGATATATATAATACTGATTCTGGTTTTCTCCTGCATAAAATTGGAAGTATCTAGGCGACGTTTCGATGAAGTCTCATTCATCATCTTCAGGCTTGTGTCTTCGGCTTTATGCTTCTCGGAGTAATGTGAGCTTGCAGCTGCTTCTTCCTTTTAGCTGCTAATGGGGGTGTGACTTGATTGGGTGGGGACTTGGCTGTGTTCTGATTGGGTGGGGGAGCGAAATCATTGGAACCCCCACCCAATCAGAACACAGCCAAGTCCCCACCCAATCAAGTCACACCCCCATTAGCAGCTAAAAGGAAGAAGCAGCTGCAAGCTCACATTACTCCGAGAAGCACAAAACCGAAGACACAAGCCTGAAGATGATGAATGAGACTTCATCGAAACGTCGCCTAGATACTTCCAATTTTACGTGGGAGAAAACCTGAATAACAAAAGATCCACATACAAATACCCACGAAAACCTCAGAAAACGTATGTATGTGTGTATGTATATATGTATGCATGTATGTATGTTATTCAGCTTTGTTTGGGTATTTTCCCTCGTCATTATAGTTGTGCTTTTAAAGCTGTAGCAACCTTTCAGCAGACTCTCATCTGCCATCATCAGGCTTCTGTATAGTGACTCACAGACGAACACTATACAGAAGCCTGATGATGGCAGAAGATTCTGCCGAAACATTGCTACAACTTTAAAAGCACAACTATAATGATGTGGGAAAATACCCGAACAAAGCTGAATACTATACACATAAATACCTGCGAAAACTTAAGAAAACAAATATATATATATATGTTTTCTTAAGTTTTCGCGGGTACTTACATGTATGGCATTCAGCTTTGTTCGGGTATTTTCCCACGTCATTGTAGTTGTGCTTTTAAAGTTGTAGCAATGTTTCGGCAGAGTCTCATCTGCCATCATCAGGCTTCTGTATAGTGTTCATCTGTAAGTCAGACTTTTACAGTGATTTCAGATTTAAATTTGGGGCAGCCTATTGCTGTGCCAGAATGGTTTTTTCTTCATCCTGATTGGTTGGGAGTCTTGGTCTGTGTTTATTGGTCTTGGAGTTTGCTGTGTTCTGCTTGATTGGTATTTCTAATATCTTCTGTCTGGTTTTTGGCTCTTTTTGTATCTTGATTGGCTGGCAACATTGTGTTACTTTATTGGAGGCCTTTAGTGCAGCTTGGCTCCAGGTAAATGGACGGTTATCATTAGTTAGGAAGCTAGGTTTCATCTGGGTGCCTGATTGGGGTGTGTTTGAGCTGGAGGTATCAGTGGGGATCTGTCTGTGCCCAGGTATTTGCCTGGCTTGTGGTGTGGAGATTTTTTTGTTTGTGAGCGCAAACTATGGTTAAGATACATCGATGACACATTTGTGATTTGGCCCCATGGAAAAGAAAACCTAAACAATTTCCTAACACCCCTAAACAGCACACACCTCAAAATCAAGTTCACCATGGAAACGGAAACAAACAAACAACTACCATTCTGGCACAGCAATAGGCTGCCCCAAATTTAAATCTGAAACCACTGTAAAAGTCTGACTCACAGATGAACACTATACAGAAGCCTGATGATGGCAGATGAGATTCTGCCGAAACGTTGCTACAACTTTAAAAGCACAACTACAATACGAGGGAAAATACCCGAACAAAGCTGAATGCCATACATGTAAGTACCCGCGAAAACTTAAGAAAACATATGTATATGTATATGTATGTATGTATGTGTGTGTGTGTGTGTGTATATATATATGTGTGTGTGTGTGTGTGTATATATATATATACATACACACACACACAGTATATATACTGAATACCATATATATATACACAGTATTATATATATTTGATTAATATATGATTATATATAAATCAGATCATAAAGATGACCATTTTCCTGTACTATCAATATCATTATACAAGTGATATTTAGAAACATCCTATGCTAAGCTTCCCTTGTTAATGTGGGTTAAGCCAGTGTCCATGGCCAAATCTTGTAGCATGTAAGCTAAATCTTCCAGAACATATACCTAGACAAGAAGTTGCATTTGACTCTCCTGTAGTAAGAAAAGAAGAAAAAAATATCTCTGACACCCTTAGTCCAATCTAAGCATTTGGAGGGAAGGCTCAATTATGAACAAAGTAATCAAGATCCATCTTAAGAGTTATATCAAGCATCTTAGGTCTGGTTCCAAGAAAAAGAAATTTGGGGAGACTCAGACTGAAACAACAACTATAACAGTGGAATATGAAAAGGTTTGTTTAAAAATGCTTGGTTGTTTTGTTGGGGAGGAAAAGGCAATAAAATCAGTAACAGGGGATATAACAAAACGAAGTGTTCCAGAAACTGGACATTTTAGTCAATTCTTAAACATTTAATTTCTCCTCTGGACCATGCCAATGCACCAGAACATTCAGCTTTGCACATCCCTAACAAGAAATGTAGCTTTCTGAACCAGATTCATACATCTGCCAATGTTTCCCCAAATCTCACAAATTTTCTCAGGCATCCTATCATTTCAGATGAGAAAAAACATCATTGTTTTCATTCCTTGCCATTCACTGTAGTTCTAACACAGACCACAATCTCCTTCATTCTTTTAAGAGGAAAGATGCTAATATTCAGTGTCATTAAATCCTTCAATAGAGTAACTCAGACTGACCTTCCCAGGCTTTCTGGTGGATATCTTTGGCCTCTTTTTCAGGTTTCTCAGCAGCTTCCTTTGCTAACCGTAGGGCCTCCACTTGTTCTTCCACAGAATTCTTACCCTCCTGTAATTCTGTTAGTTTTTTCTACAAAGAGAGGAAAGAAAAGGATTATCTGAATTTTGTCCAAATCCAAACAGCTTCATAGGAAAGCATTATAAATCTGTAACCAACTCCTGCTTGAATCCCAATTACCCGTCTTGCAAGATATGACAGATTTGTATGACAAAACAAATATGGTTGTATGTACTGTATGCATGTACCCATATATATGAGTTGGATTAAGAGTGAGTGACTGGCTGAGCCAGTCATTATCTCACTCCAATTCTCTTTACAAGGGAAAATAGGAGGAAGACACATTATAAATGTTCACCACTTTGAATTGTATCTATTTAAAAAAGTCAAAATAAAAATCTAAAAAAGGTGAAGAGAAATAGACAGAGGTAGACAATTGCTGAAAAACTACGTATTGACATATATGACATTACATGTTAATAATAAACATACATGTTCCACAATGTCCAGTTTAAAATGTATATGGACAATCAGCCCTAAGGACAATACAAAGTACAGAAAGACTCCAGAGTCTACTCAAGAATAGCGTGCGCTCCCAAATTTTCCTTATACAATCACGAAGTTTTTACTTTTCTTAGAGGAATATAAAAAAATATAAAAATATAAAAAACCAGTCTAAGAAGAACCATCACTTGGCTCCTCTCACCATGCCAAAAGTGCCTTGGCAAAAATTAAAATATCCAGTCTTACAGCCCCAGCTAGCAGTAAGCATTTTCTCCGCAGGCTACCTCTCACCTGTTTTTCTTCTTTTCTCTTACTTGCTTCTTCTATCAGGGCCTTCTTGATTTCAAAGCCTTCTCTGGCCACCTCAGCCATCTGCTTCAGTGCCTCTCGCTCCTTTCGGCCCATTTCTCTGCAAAGGGACAAGGGAATAGAATGCCAAGGTTTAGGATAAGATATTGTTCAACCATGGTATCTAGGATAGAAAGGAATTCTATCCTAGAAAAATCTGCACAAGTGAAAAATTCTGCATAAGTGTAGAGAATGGTATGGATGAAGAACACTGTCTAATAACTTGAAAGCTATTGTTGCTTTTCAAATTCATAAGCACGGCACATAATTCTGAACACCACATAGTAGTAAATAAGCTAAAAAGAGCAGTTATAAAGTTGGTATGCTGCAAAGCACATTCTGCAATTAATGTTTAAAAAAATCAACAGAAATCCTTAAAAAGCAAGCATTGCAGCTGGTTTTAGTCTAGTTCTATTTGAAAATGTGCCCAGATTTGCAAAATCTGAAAGAAAATTGGGAGTGGTAGATAGTATCTTGAGATGGAAAAACAACCTTACAAGTTCACCTGGTGGTAGCCAACATTTCCTTTCATAACCATTAGTAGCCACATTGTGAACAGACAACTCCCATGACAATTATGCAACCATCCATGGTGAAGTCTCAAGTTCTAGATCTTAAACTCTCTTATTACTCTCATAAAAAAACCATTTTACTTCTCAGCAGCAATTCCAAACTGGATTCTCAGTTCACAAGCAATTAATTACAAATTGCTCCATTAACTCCAGGATATGCCCGTATTACCAAATGGAGGGTAACTGAACTGGGGCAACAAAGTGGTTAGAATGCAGTGTTGCTGGCTGACTCTGCTCATTGCCAGGAGTTTAATCCTGACTGACTCAAGGTTGATTCAACCTTCCATCTTTACGAGGTCAGTAAAATGAGGCCCTGGATTGTTAAGGCCAATATGCTAACGTTGTAAATCGTTCAGAGTGCTGTAAAGCAGAGTTCCCCAACATTTCCGGCTTTGCAGACTGATGGGGGTAGGGAGAAGAGAGAATGGTTCCACACAAGCGGCCAGAAGCACGTGCACACAGCTCCAACTGCACAAGAGGCATGCATTTGTGCCTACTGCTTACGCAAATGGCACACACATTCATCCACTGCTCGCCCAAGTGTAGAAGTGTGTGCATGCATGCGTGCTCTCTAGCCATTTCTGTGGCCCAGTTGCAATCCCCTCATGGCCCACAGGATGTGGAACCCTGCTGTAAAGTACTATGGAGCAGTATATAAATGTAAGTGATATTGCTATTACTAACCTGTTTAAGAAAAACTGTTCTAAATGCATCCCTCTCCCCTAAGTTAAATATTTGATAACTAGTACTTGAGTCTGCTTCTGAATCAGTCCTCTGAACAAAGAAGGGGCTTCTTCTAAAACAAGTAACATCTTACCTGCAGGTGTTTTCACACATTGTGCCACTGTTGTACTCATCAGTTGTATCACAGCAATCTAAGAGAGCAAGGAGAGAACTATTGGCATCTATCACTTGAGTTCTACCATTCAGAGCTAAACAATTCCTTCACAACAAGGAGCAATACTTACCGCAGATCCCATCATTGATACGGGAAGAGGGGATGTACATAGGACGGTATCCAGCATTGGAGCAATGGAAGCGGCCATTGGGACATGCAGCAGTTCCTGGGTAGAAAGACAAGACAGGTGTACGTTAACCAAAAGGGGGAAAGGGGTTGGGGAAGAGAAGAAAGCATAAATTAAGCCATGCAAGCTCTCTACTATACAGAGCTTGCATGTGTGGGTTAATTTATATTAATTTATTGTAAGGTAAAGGTTCCCCCGCGCATGCATGCTAGTTGTTTTCAGCTCTAGGAGGTGGTGCTCATCTCCGTTTTTAAGCTGAACAGCCAGCACTGTCCGAAGACATCTCCATGGTCATGTGGCCGCCATGACTAAACGCCGAAGGCACATGGAGCGCTGTTACCTTCCCACTAAAGTGGTCCCTATTTTTCTACTTGCAATTTTTATGTGCTTTCGAACTGCTAGGTTGGCAGAAGCTGGGACAAGTAATCGGAGCTCATTCCGTTACGTGGTGCTAGGGTTCAAACTGAGTAGTTCAAACTGATCGACAAGCTCAGTGTCTTAGCCACTGAGCCACCGCATCCCCTTTTAATTAATTTCTCCTAGCAATCACAATTTACTTGCTATTCATAAGGTGTCCAAAGGCTATGACAGTAAAACATATAAGAAACAAACTCTTGCATAAATTGAAGCAGTTTTTAAAGAACTTCTAGACATTTAAAAAATAAGACGAGTAACAGCAATTGATTTGGTTTCTATTAATTGGTATATATAATATTGAATTTCATTTTATTCATTTTAATTTTTAATTTAAAAATTGTAATTTTTAATTACAATTATTTTTATCTTGGCCATCTGTGTCCTATTTTGCAGTGGGAAGCCACTTATTATCATCTACTTCATAAATATTACGGTTTTATGTCTGGATATCAAATTTTAAGAAAATCTTCAGATATTTGTGCTTAACTGCTTAAGCAATCTAATAAAATTAATGGGGATGGGACTGCTAGCAGCTTAGTTCCTGTCCCTTGTTAAAAGAGAGATACACATTGGTTGATGTGAGATGTAATACTAGCAAACATCCTTAGAGCAGTAATTACAAAAGATGGGACAGGAAAGGCAATATGTGCAAATAAGGCCAATTTAAATATGTCCCACTTACCTGGCTCATCTGAGCCATCTTTGCAATCACAGTAATCATCGTTGACTCTATCAAAGGATATTGTGGCAGAGCCATCAAGACAAGTGAATGATTTTGATTCGTCATAGAAGTGATGGTCTAAAAACAACAGACACACACACACACACTTGGGTTCAAGTAAGAAAAAATACTGAAAAAAAGATATGTCAATTTATAAAAGTATTCAGCATTTAATATTCCATGCTTAGTTAAGTCATTCCATAGCTTATGTCTATATAATTTATATTCTAAGTGACAAAAAAGATGCCAACCAGGAGGCAACTCCACTTCTGTACCTTACTGTTAGCATTCAAAACAAATCAGTATTGAGGGCAACAGGAAGTTGCATATCTAAACAAACTTCAAACACTGAATTGTTTTCTTTTAAGTAATTCATTTGCTTTAAATTTCTCTTCAGATGACCAGCTTTCTCTCTCATAGCTCCATTTTAAATCCAAGAAAACAAACACCAGACAGGGTTTCCTTATACAACATGGATGCAATCTTTTGATTTATAATGCAAAATTATAGACACGACGTGTTTCCAACCTCTGATTGTTAGAAATAATGAAACTGTTCAAGCGATACTTTGTAAGAAGAGATCAAACCTGCCATCTAAATGAATTGTTGTAAGTGGAGGACTACCTGTATTTCCAGTTGGTTTAATACAGGTAATCCTCTACAGGTAGTTCGCTTAGTGACCATTCAAAGTTACGACATCACTGAAAAAAGTGAGTTATGACCATTTTTCACACTTATGACTGTTGCAGCATACCCATGGTCATGTAATTTACATTCGGACACTTGATAACTGACTCACATTTATGACAGTTGCAGTGTCCCAGGGTCATGTGATTACTTTATGCAACCTTCTGACAAGCTAAGTCAATGGGGAAACCAGATCCACTTAACAATTGTGTTACTAATTTAACAATTGCAGTGATTTACTTAACAAGTGTGGCAAGAAAAGTGGTAAAAAGGGGCAAAACTCACTTAACAAATTTCTCACTTAGCAACATAAATTTTGGGCTCAATTGTGGTCATAAGTCGAGGACTACCTGTATTATCTGCTTGAAAACTCACTTGTTAGGGAGACCCCTCGTGGACGCTTCACTTCCACAGGATAAGCCAGGCCAGAAAGTGAGAGCAGCCCAAGACATAGAAGCAGCATAATGGAAGCTCAAAATCAGCAACTCCTGGAACAAAATGCAAAGGACTTGTTATTCTAGAAACTTCCTCTTGGTTGTACTAGTAATTTGATGCTTCACAGTTGTTTTTCATTTTAAATTTTGCAATATTTATAATTGCTTTTTATTTTGTTTGCCATCCAGAGCCACTTGTTGAGATGGGTGGCCCTATAAATTAAATAACTTTCCTGTTATTATGAATACATGGAGGAGGAAGATATAGAACATTCCTTCCTCCCATCCAATTTTATTTTAAATAAAACTCTCTATTAAGTTGCCCAAATTTTAGATAGGATCCTCATATGTGATTTATATTTTTTTCCATGCAGTCAAAAAATTCTATTAAGCTGATCTCCTAAGTAGCAATAGCAATAACACTTAGACTTATATATCGCTTTATAGTGCTTTACAGCCCTCTCAAAGTGGTTTATGGAGTTAGCATATTGCCCCCAACAATCTGGGTCCTCATTTTACCCACCTCGGAAGGATGGAAGGCTGAGTCAACCTTGAGCCTGGTGGGACTTGATCTGCCAAACTGCAGCAGGAGTAGCTTGCAGTACTGCACTCTAACTACTGCGCCACCGAGGCTCCTATGTACCTATAATGAAAGTCCAAAGATTTATTTTCAGTTTCTAATAGAATTGGTAAATACTTGTGTTCTTGACCAAGACTTGTATTTGTTTTGATATCACTTTTTATGACCCTATAACCTTCTAATTCAGGGTAAGGTCTGGGATATTGGATGGAGGTGAGCTTTTACTGGTCAGTGCCCTTCCTGTTGCCTATGCAGAGTTCCAGCAGATATTTTTTCTTTGCGTCCTAGGAGAGAAACATCTACCATTACCTAGGAATGAACTCTCCATCTTTCAAGTGGGACACAAGCGTTGTTATTACTAGATCACATTCTGAACATATTAAATCTATTCCAATGTGTCTACCTCTCACTTATGGTAATATCTCATCTCAAATATTCATTAAGGACTATCCCAAAACTGAACAAGAATATACATGAACCACTTAAGATAGCACCTCTGCTCTCCCAAATGGCCTCTACAACTATTAGATTACTCATTGTACCTGCCATAAGGATGCTAAGAAAGTTCCGTGTTCTGGACACAATATATCAAGGAACTCAGAATATGGGCAGCATCATAACACTAAGCATTTTTATGTAAATGTAAAGAAGAGCCTTTTTATCATTTATGGTGGATGTGTGATAAAGCAAAGAAATATTGGATCCATATCTTAATACAGAAAATTCTTACAGCAAATATAGAAAGAAAACCAGAGACTTTTCTTTTGGGTTTAATGGAACAAAATGTGGGGAAAAAATTCGGAACTCTGATGTTATGTATGTTGAGGGCAGCAAGACTACTCTATGCACAGAAATGGAAGGTCATCTTGATCACCACAAGGGATGAATGGCTACAAAAACTGATAGCAGAGATGGCTAAATTGACTGTTTTGACTAAAGAAAAAAAACACAAATACTTTATTTCTACTTGGAAACCACTTGCGGACCTTGTGTTTGAGGTGGAAAAAAATGAAACGTTGATTTTGGGATCTACAAATTAGATAAATTTGTTGTTATAGAAATGCCTAATTTATATTATTACAAAAAAGTAAAAAGTTGAGGGTTAATGCCTTACTGCACTAAAGGAGTCAGAAGCCAATGCCTTTTTTTCTTTTTCCTTTGTTTTCCTCCACTATCTACTTCCCTTTTACTTTCCCCAATTTCCCTAATATTTACTTTTGTATTCTCTTTGTATACCATATTATAAATTAATAAAAACTATATTTAAAAAAATAAAACTAAGCATTTTATGGTTTTTCCTATGACAAGATGATGAAGGTGTTATGCCCAGAATAGAAATAACTAGGTGACACCACCATGGCAAATATAAGTTCTGGTGCCTAGGGACTGGGTATGGCTTCACATATTCTTCAACTTCCAAGAACTGACAAAGGATGTAGGGGAATTCTTCTTTTCCCTCAGTTCATCCTTTAAAATAAATCACATCAATAGCACACAAGATTCCTGCAAATAGCAATAGCACTTAGACTTAAATACTTACATACTCTCTGGCAGTTTACAATGTCAACATATTGCCTCCAACAATCCGGGTCCTCATTTTACTGACCTCGGAAGTCTGGGTCAACTTCAAGTCCCCTCAGATGTTAATCAAATGTTGATTATTCCCCTTCCCAAACTTACTGTGCAATACTTTGCTTGAAAATGTTCTTATATAGACAGTATTTATCCTACATGTTGAAACTTACAGTACAAGAACTTTAGCACTGTATTGTTTTCTGGAATTTCAGATCTCTACCGTTGATATTTCAATGAGACCACCAGATACCCTAGCAGCTGTTGGCTAAATCAGAATGTTTTAAAATGGTAAACCACTTCCTTAATGTGGCAAGAAAACTCTGCATAATAATTCCATGAAACTGGCAAGAGCTAAATTTCTCTCAAGAGACTTTATTGTTTTCCAAACCATCACACAAATGCAGCAACTGGTACAAATCAGAAACATACACCTCCCACATTCTGAGTTTAAAATTCTGCTATGATGATCATGACTTAACACAATCAAGATTCTACTTGCTTCCTATTACCAATTGCCATTTTGAAGTACAAATCCTCCATTTGGAGAATTAAATTACAATGCAATACTTCTGTCAAACTTTAATTATCTTCCACCTTCCTAATTAATAGTTTAACTATTGCTCGGTGTCTTGAAAAGTCCTGGATGCACCACCCAAAGAGTCATTTTGACCATTATACTGTTTCAAAATGAAACAGTAACTTGTCTAACACTAAAGTTCAGCATTTTAATTTCAATTTAAACTATCTTTGGGAAATTGAAAAACTGAAATCTCAATCTTTTTTTTAATCAGCTGAGATATGCCTTTTTATAATTTGAAATATCCTGTTAGGCACATAAAGCAAAAAAATAAACAATAGGAATGCCTCTCATTCGCGTTAGCCATTCTATTAAAAGGTTGAGCTCACCCAAAGCTATGCTTTTAGGAACTAAGATTTAAGTGTTCATTGATTTGTTGTAGTAAAATGACCCTTTGTACCTAAAGGGCAAAGAGTCAACAATTAAGTACTGCTCTATGTTAGTCGAATGCACTTTGGATAGGTTTTCTAAACTTTAAGAGTGAACCTGAATATTTTTTTTTTGTAGTACAGACCTTCACCTTAATTCGTACTGAAACGAGGAGCGTACATTAAAGGAACAATGGCTAATTATCTCAGCCATTCCTAATCTAGAGCCCCCCAGACGTGCCCATACTGTCCACGGAGGATGAAAGCCACAAAACAAGAGATCAGAACAGCAGCGGCAGGTTAAGGAAAGCTGGGTAAGCTTACAAAGTGTGAACGCGATGCGGTTCTGCCCTTTAATCCAACGGGCTCTCCACCTACGTGGCGACTGACTAGGACACCGAGAGCCAAGCAGAGGGGCAACCCCAATAGCGCTCCGCGTTTTCCCTCTCCCCGGGAAATCTCCCCCCACCCCCCGCAGCCTCCGACAGGCGCGGCCCTACCCGTGAATGCGCCAACCCCGCCGCCCTCCTTACCCGCCTCCCGCCGAAACTCTCGTGGAAAAAGGTCCCAAGACCCACCGCCTCGAAACCGGAAGTAAGTTATGAAATATCCGCTCCAAAGCGTGCAGAGGGGGTGGGGACCTTAAATGGCCTTTTCTCCCAGTCACCGTTTTGATTTCGGCTTTCCTTCGTGACCATCATAAGAGTGGCGGAAGTGCCTTGCTTTCCGTCCATGCTGCCACGAGACACGATTGGCCAAGGCTGCAGTTTGCCTTTTATTTGTTGCTTGTTCCACGTGGGAAATGAAATATTTCCATTCCATCTCCTGCGTGACACAATAATTAATAAACTTGGGCTTTATTATCCCCCTGTGTGAGGATTGCGAGGGGTACTTCCGGCGGGTGCTAGGAGAGTTTGACCTTTTTCCCGTCGTGCCCTGCAGAACTCGCCCCTTCCACCAATGAGCGCTTTGCATCGGAAGTGGTTGTCATGGAGACACATCTAGGCGCAAGGATGCTGATGGGCAAGTGAGCTGCGGCCGCCGACAAAGGGCGCGGGGAAAGCCTGGAAGAGCGGTAGCGGCCTTTGTAGAAGGCCAAGGGGAGAGGGTTGTAAGACTTCTCAGGCCGAAGCACCATTTGCTGTCAAGTGTGTCTGTATGCGGGTGGTAACTTCATTTTCCTTCTCAGTGCACCCCCTGTTTAGCCCTCTGCACCCGAAAAATTACCCCCAGGCTCTGCCTATTGTTATCTCAGGAAGGCCGGGTGGAACCACGCTGGTGTTTTGTCTCCTGTCCACTTGATCTTTTCTGATTCTACACCCTCTCACCACCATCACTGCTGTCATGCCAGTAACACATCTGGAAGGAATAAAGCCCCCTATTCATGAGCAGATATCGGAGCTGCAAAGCAAGATTCAGCTTCTAGGTAAGGGGTGCTGAAAATATAGAGGGTGAGAGGAAAAGGATTGTGATAATTAAGGAGGGAAGAGGCGTTTCAGATTCAATTTGATCAGAGGTCTCCAAACTTGGCAACTTTAAGACTTGTGGACCAACTCCCAGCATAGCTGGCTGGAGAATTCTGGGAGTTGGTCCACAAGTCTTAAAGTTGCCAAGTTTGGGGACCCCTGGATTAGATTAACAGAGTTAGAAGGGACCTTGTAGGTCATTTAGTCCAACCTGTCCCCCAAGCAGGAGACCCTACACCATTTCTGACAGATGGCAGTCCAATCTCTTCTTGAAAGCCTCCAGTGATGAAGCTCCCACAACTTCCGAAGGAAAGCTGTTCCATTGGTTGATTGTTCTCACTGTCAGAAAGTTTCTGATAATGAGTTGCTATAAAGAAGGGCACAAGTAGTTTCATTCATTCTTAGGATGAATAGGCTTTTGCTAGGCTTAGGGTGCTTTGCTCAGTCCTTCAAATTAAACACACTCAATTGAATTTAACGAGAATTTGATGATAATACGGTTTTGTATAAACAATCCCCATAAAGATGAGAAAGGCGTTGTAAGATCTTATCACAGTCATACTTTTATTGTTGTCAAGTCCAATTAGACACACGGAGTCACAGGGAAATAGCAATAGCACTTAGACTTCTATACCACTTCACACTGCTTTACAGCCCTCTCTAAGCAGTTTACAGAGTCAGCGTATTGCCCCCAACAATCTGGGTCCTCATTTTACCGACCTCGGAAGAATGGAAGGCTGAATACAGTATTCTCTGTATTCATTATAATGTTCCGATAGTATCAGTCTAACTAAAGTTAGCAAAATATATTCAATTTAATTTATTTTTAATGGAATATGGAATTAGTGAAAGTGCTTGGGAGATATTTCTGCTCTGGTCAATGGATGATTGCCTTACAATATCATACCATACATAATTCCTATTTTCTTTCATGGAAATGTTATGTAAAAGCTCACATGTCTTCAGGCTTGAAGTGTAGAGATGAACATAGTTTCAAAATCTCATTTTCTACAGATAAAGAAAATATAAATTCATATAGAAAGAAATTCTATCATCAGAGTTGTACTTCTGATTTACAGCATTAATTCTTCGTATTAGTGGCATATTATGCAATTTCATTTAAAATTAACAACATATCAGTTTGGAACTATTTGGCTTTGTTGGCTTTTTTCAATGAACCAATAACTACTTGATCAGCAGTATGGTTTCATTTCTGCTCATTACAGAAGGTGACCGGAAAGCTTTCTATGAGAATTCCCAATGGAACATCAAGAAGAACAAGGAGTCAATTTTGCGGTTAAGGCAGGAGAATAAGAAATTGCATCAAAGGCTGGCAGACCTCCTAGCGGTAAGCTTTGTGCCTTCTACTGTCCTGTCTCACTAAGCCCTTGTCAAATCATAATCATCACTTTTCCCTGTCTTTGAAATTGTTTCTCTTTTCTCATTGGTTCCTACAATATGACATTGGAAAAGAAAAATATAGAGACTCTAATTTCATCTTCTCTTGGTAGAATATATTTACGATCTCTGCTTATTCCGTTTGGGCTGCTCTGTTCAATAGCAATAGCAATAGCATTTATACTTATATATCTCTTCATAGTGCTTTACAGCCCTCTCTAAGCAGTTTTCAGATTCAGCATATTGCCCTCCAACAATCTGGGTCCTCATCGGATAGGTTTTCTAAAACAGTTTGCTATGCTTACTACCTCCTCTCTTCAGGGAAAATTATTTTTCAGTTTTGCCAGATTGAAACATGTCACTGGCGAGTTCATTTGTCAAGCACCGTAACTTCTGATTTCACTATAAATATGCAGATATCAGAGTGGCAAAAATCCCAATAAGCATGAAATGGCAAAGAGAATCAGAATGCAAAAAACTGTTTCTTGGCATCTGACGTTTGTATGTTTCTACTCAGATCTGGTAGCTTAATGCAAGTGGCTGTTCCTGTTACTTTTGGAATATTGTAACAGCTCTTTGTCTTTGTATGTCTGTGTGTCTATGCTTCTGTGTGTATGTCTGCATTTGTATTCTAAAAGTGACAGGAACAGCTATTTGCCTTTATTCCTTGTATTTTTAGAAATATCGTCGTGTAGTGTAGTGTAGTGTAGTATAGTATAGTACAGTATAGTAAATCTAAAAAAATAAATTCTGTGATAAAGAAAAATAAAATCAGAGTTACAGCTTACAACATTATTAAAAACATGTTCGTTTTACATTGTATCTGATTGGCTTGCTTGTCACTTAATAACACCAATGCTTCTTTCTTAATGCTGCTCTAGCAAGATTTATTATAAGTATATAGTATTTAACAGAAAATTGTATGTTAAGCCTTTTCTGTATCTTCTGCATTTTTTATGTTAGGAAAGAAAGAAGGAAGGAAGGCAGCAGAGTACTGAAAGGGTCTGTTGCTTATGTCCTTCTCTCATCCCTTATTTACCCATGAGCTGGCTTCAGGGGTTATATAAAGCTATAATCCGATTTACTTGTTTTTGGTCTTATTTGATATATGGACCCACTCACTGTGGTTTAGGATTATGGCTGAACCAGACTACCAATTCCTATTCAATGAAAATTAATACTGAAATCCAGCCAATAATGGTATTTCTTTTTCAAAAATTTGGATTTAGATTACCTTCAGATAATGACTATAATTGTTTTGGGATGTTGTTTTTTTCCAGGGAGAAGAAAAAGTAATTAAGGCTGCATTCCAAGAACATCCAACTGAACAAGGAGCTGTGAAAAATAAAACTGGGGAGGTAATTGATCATTCAAACATTTCTGAAATTCATTGCTAATTTTTTTTAAAAAACCTGGCATTTAGGGAGTTGGGATTACAGAGTTAAAGAAGTCTGAGAATTCTGGGCTAACTCAAGTTAGCATGCCTCTACTCCAGGGGTGGGAAACTATGGCTCTTTTATGACTTGTGGACTTCAACTCCCAGAATTCTACTCTAATTAATACCATAGGACATATTTCTCAAAATGTGCATAGAATTCAAGCCTAAAATGGAATTTAAGGTTAGGTTATTCACAAAAAAGATCAAATCCCAGGGCTATAGAATACAAGATTATGCTTTTGAATTAGACTACCATATGCCTGGTAATATTTTTGACCATATGAACTCCAAAACTCCAAATTCAACAAACAATAATCAGGGTAGAGGATATTATCATACCCATCAATTTTGAATGATTTGTGCTTTCAGTTTGTTTCTACATTATATGATAGTTTTAACTTTAAAATGTCTACTTGATAGCCCATTTTAAAGTCCACTTTATACTTTATGAATTTGTTGATTGGTAAAAATAGGTAAGTGTTGTGACTCGGAGGTTTGAGCCTGCTCTTTTAGAGGACAGACTTGGATAATGAGGAAGAGGAGGATTTGGCTCTGAGGTTTGAGCCTGCTTTGTT